AATAAGAAATATAAACTGAAAATGTAAGAACTCGACAACCCAAAGCAAGTCAATAATCATACAAGCACATGCCTAATAAGAAGTGAAAGCTGATTTATATTAGCTCATTTTTAAAGATGCCTCCTTACAGAGATGCCCCAAAACAGATTAGATTCCATCCTTAAGGGGCACGTGGGTGGCTTAGCTGTTTAAGCATCTGCCTTCGGCTGAGGTCATGATCCCAGGGTCTTAGAATTGAGCTCCCTGCCCAGCGGGAAGCCTGCTTGTCCCTCTCCCTCTGCCCTTCCTCCTGCCCCTTGCTCTCTTCACTCTCTCTCTCTCAAGTAAATAAATTCTTAAAAAAAAAAAAAAAAGATTCCATCTTTAAGAGTTTGGCAAGGCATCAACTTATTACATGTAATTTTCACTGTGATGGAGCTTACTTTTAACCATGTACAAAAGTTATTCCTTTAACCACTCAAAACAGGAAAGAGGAGAGGTTTGGTTCAAAGAGCCTTTGAAGATTACCAATGAAAACACCGAAAGAAATACCTTACGACTATGCCAGTTTGTACCTTCTTCTGAAACCTTACTTTGAATACCTGCTCAACTTTAATATTCCTTTTTTTAAAAGATTTTATTCACTTATTAGAAAGAGACAGAGAACATAAGCAGGGGAGAGGGGCAAAGGGTGAGGGAGAAGCAGGCTCCCCGCTGAGCAGGGAGCCAGACATGAGGCTCAATCCCAGGACCCTGGAATCATGACCAGAGCTGAAGGCAGACGCTTAACCCACTGAGCCATCCAGGCACCCCTCAACTTTAATACTCTTAATTCATCTTTACTTGCTTTTTAAAATACTACATCTGATCATTCTAAGGTAACTAACACTCCTTCCTTAAAATTCTTCTCAGTTTCCATACTGTCACACTCTATGCTAGATTTCTTCCTATCCTGTCCATTCTTCTGAGACTGCACTTTTCTCCACTCCAGATTTAAATATGCATTCTCCAGCACTTGTCCTATCTAGGCCCTCTGCTATCCAACTTACAGGCCTCCCTCAGTGGCTACATCCATATTCACAGCTTTAGTTCCATGTATTCCAGATCCACATACATACACTTATCTACTGGGCATCATCAAATCTTACATTGATTTCCTCAAAATGTCAGGAATCTCTCCTCTCCATTCCCACTATCATTACCTTAATTCAGGTTCTAACCATTCTCTCTTTGACACAGCAATGAATCATCTCTTCACTGGTCTCACCACTACACCAAGCTGGGTCCTGCTACTAAAGTAAACTTTCTAAAATTGAAACGTGATCATGCTGCTCCTCTGCCAAAAATTACTGAATAGGTCTCTATGGCTTTCAGGAAAAAGCTCAAATTGGCTTACACGGAAAGTTCCTGCCAATACCTCTAAACTCTATCTCTACTACACTCATCCTTCGGCTTCAGCCTGGAAACAGTCATCCTCTGTAACCCCTCCTTGTGTCTGCATATGCTGTAAACCCAATCAGGGTATTCCCCAACAAACCCTGAATAACCAATTCTGACCTAAAGTATTACTACATCCAGGAAATCTCCCCTTTAGTCATAGGCTGATTTAGACAGCTACTCTCAATGCTCACATAAAATTTTCCTCCTAAATCACTTCCATTATCAGTCACATTCATGCTTAGGTCTTCTCCATTAGACTATTAACAGTCCCCAGGGAAACAGCACTTTGTATGCTTTCTACCTAACATACAGAAAACATTCAACACTTGCTGTTTGAAGGAATAAATGGGGATTATACAGAAATTTATAAAATGGTGAACTTATTCTAATGATAATGAACTTGTTCCTTCCATTAGAATAGTCAGTGGGCAAATCCTCTGCTGTCGTTGAAATGGCGATGAAAAATTTTCATTTTCTAACAGATCCATAGTGACCCAAAGCCCTTATCACCTCATTTCTTACTATCTGTGAATCAAAAACTGATTTTGTAGCTAAACATAAATATTTTTAAAGGCACAGGTTGGTCCTTTGTGAAAAAGGAAGAGCAAATGACATAGTAAATTTTATTATTTTAAATAATTGTATTTCCCCACCAAACTCCTTCCAGTCAATCAAGACCCTGTTCTACCATTACCATCCCTTCCAAATAAAACTTTTCTCCCCTCTGCCTTCTTTAATTCATTGAATCTCAGAGCGACTATGTGTGTTTGGAGGGGGAGGGGAGTAGGAGATGGGTTGATAAAGGAGGGGATGGAGGAGGGTGATAAAGCAGTATCAACAAAATCTACTCTACATTTCCATATCTAGTCTAACCACATCCAAGTCCAAAGAGATGATTAGAAAAAGGTCCTCAACAATCATGTCCACTCTCTTTTCCATACCATTGATGTCAAGCCACATTAGTCTGATGTAAAATGTCCCACAAGGGAAGTAAACTAGAGCAAACTGCATGGAATTTTGAGGGGAGCTGAAGATTACAATGAGTTCTATGAGGTCAATGACCCAAAGAGTAACTGAAACGATTCTGTCCAGAAACACCTACTTCCTCTCACTCTGACCTCCTACCCTCCTTTTTGTCCACCCACTGCCAGCACAAGCACAGGAAAGGCATCAAGTTACAATAATGAATACTGACAGATTAAAGGCCAAAAAGTTATACATTGTGCACTGAACATCTCAAAATATTTCTCTTAATAACTTGCATTTGTTGAATCAAATAACAAAGCAATTTCAGACTGTCATTCACCTCCCATAACACAGCAAAACATAACTGGCACAACTCCTATAATGAAGTCACATACTCCTAGCTCACACAACAACTGCAGAATAGGAGTAAGGTAAAAAGTGCAGTCAAGATTGAGGATAAGAGGGGCGCCTGGGTGGCTCAGTTGGTTAAGCGACTGCCTTCGGCTCAGGTCATGATCCTGGAGTCCTGGGATCGAGTCCCACATCAGGCTCCCTGCTCGGCGGGGAGTCTGCTTCTCCCTCTGACTCTCCTCCCTCTCATGCTCTCTGTCTCTCATTCTCTCTCAAATAAATAAAATCCTTAAAAAAAAAAAAAAAAAGATTGAGGATAAGAGTGAGAAAAATGAGTATCAAACAATAATATCTGAAGAACCCCAAATTCAATCCATTCTTTACAAAATTACAGAACCTATCTCTCCAAAAAAAAAAAAAAAAAGTCGAAGGAGAAATATATTTATAAACTTGTTCTACTCTTTTCAGCTATTTGCAAGCACACAAAACTTTCAAATCTGAGTGTATTTTTTCAAATAAAGATTTCCAAGCTTCACCTGCCAGAAATTCTTTTGTAAATCTGGAATGGAGCCTGGGTATTGGGATGTTTACTTATAAAGTTCCCCAAGGACTCTGATCAGCAGCCAGGTTTGTCAGATGTGCTATGTATCTTTACAAGAAGGGCTCCTGCCAACCCCTACTGACACTCTAGCCGTCTGTAAAATTATCGAAGTTCTTCCTATAAATATGCCAAATCAAACAGCACCATGCCACCTCACCTAATCCCTTTGTGTTCTCCCTCACCCCTGGAGTTACTGCCTTATCTTCAGTTCATTCCATGAAACAGCAATCTTCCTTTCCTATCTCCACCTTCGTAGTAACCAAGAAATAAGAAGGGTAAAACAAAGGGAAACTATCACTTCAATACCCGGAAATCCTGTCAGTTCTAACATGAGAGAAGAAAACCCATTCTAGATCATTCCAACATGTACCGAATTTTAAAGGAAAGAGAGTCCAGGGTGATTTGTGAAGCAGGGTTGAAAGGTAAGTTAGGTAAGACTTCTTGGACCTGGAAAGAATGGGCCCAGGGTTCTCAAAGAAGGGAAAACTTTAAAGCAGGGCAGGTCAGAAAGAGGAGGTAGTTGCGGGGAGCAGGCTGGTGCCCGCACCTTCGGCCGGTTTTGACACTCGACACCCCAGCCTTCACTCAGGTTGCTAGGAAACAAAAAGGCTCCACGTTCCCTGCAATTCCTCCCGGGCCTGAAGACACGACCGGGACGAGCCCGGCCACTGCCCTGGGGGCAAGAAAGCAAGGGAGGGATACCCGGGGGCCGGGGGGCTCGGGCAGAGGGGCCGGCCCAGGAAGCTGGCCCCGAGCTCGGGAGGAGGGCGGGCCGGAACGCGCCCTCGACGCCGAGGGGCGCTCGGGCAAGTCGCGGTGGGCTCTGCTCCCGCCAGGCCGCAGCTGAGGGTCCGGGGCTGGATGCTGGGCCTAAACGACCACCCGGCTCCGCGCGGGGGAGGAGGCGTCTACTCACACGTGCTGACAGGCCGCGGTCCTCACGGGCGTTTTGAGCACCTCCTGACAGACAGGGCAGTAGAAATCATCTTCGGTGTAGGACGTGGCCGCGGAGAGCTCCTCGGCCATGGCGGGGGATGGGGGGAATCAAGGAGATGGCGGCAGCGGTGGCGGCGACAGCGGCCAAGCTGGCGGTGGCAGCCCGGGGCCCGACTCTCTTCGCGAACCCGGAGGGGGAGGGGAATCGCGTCAGGAAGCTGCTCGCGCCAGGAAGGGGGCGGGGAGGGGCGGGGCCGAACGCCGAGTCGCTAGGGCCGCACGCGCCGGGCGAGGGCCGGCCCCTGGGGCTGCTCCTCCCGCTGGGGCAGGCCGGGAAGGCAGTGCCAGGCGGGAAGCGGGGGTGGAGAGAGCAGCCAGTGGCTTCACCTTCACTTCCACGCCGGCTCGGAGCAGGCGGGAGGCCGCCCCTCCGCCCGGGAAGGAAGGCGACCGCCCAGCCGTCCCCAGCCGGCGGCCTCCCGCGCGAGGCCGCTCCCTTACCTGGCTCCACGAGGCGGCCGCGGTTCCGCCCCCGGCTGTCTTCTCCGCCTCCGACTCCTTTGCC